AAACCTGTGATTTTATCGTAGTTCTAGGTTGATATGTGATGTCATATTCACTTAGTTCTATGGCCCACTTGGCTAATCTACCTGATAACTCTTGCTTATGCAATATATTTCGTAAGGGGCAGGCGATCACTACAGAAATACGGTTACATTGAAAATAAAGCCTTAATTTTTAGATGCCATAATTAATGCTAAAGCAAGTTTTTCTAAATGAGGATATCGATTTTCAGCATCTAGTAAGGACTTGCTAACATAATAAATTGGAGATTGTTTGCCTTTATCGATTTTCAGCATCTAGTAAGGACTTGCTAACATAATAAATTGGAGATTGTTTGCCTTTATCGATTTTCAGCATCTAGTAAGGACTTGCTAACATAATAAATTGGAGATTGTTTGCCTTTATCGATTTTCAGCATCTAGTAAGGACTTGCTAACATAATAAATTGGAGATTATTTACCTTTATCTTCTCGAACTAGCACTGCACTTACCGCCATTTTTGACATAGCGAGATAGATGAGTAGCCTTTCACCGCCCTTTGGTTTAGCCAGCAACAGTGGGTTTGATAAGTATATTTTCAGAGTTTTGAGTGCTTGTTGGTATTCTTTAGTCCATTCAAATTAGATTTTCTTTTTCAATACTGAGAATAACTTAAAGCTTTTTTCGGAAGATTTAGAACTAAATCTAACCAATGCTGCTATCCTACCTGTCAACCTTTGCACTTGTTTTTTTACTCGTGAGTATATTCGGTATTTCTTCAATGGCTTTAATCTGCGCTTTACTATAATTCCTCGGTTAGAAACTAGAAAACCTAAAAACTTACCTGAAGACATGCCAAATGCACACTTTTCGGGATTTAACTTCATATTGAATTTGTGGAGAATTTGAAAAGTATCTAACAAATGTTGAATGTGATCCCCCGCCCGTGCTGACTTGAATAACATGTCATCAATGTAGACTTCCATGATTTTTCCCAAATGTTCTTGAAACATATTTTTTACTAACCTCTGGTACATGGCGCATTCTTTAGACCGAGGGGCATGATTTTGTAACAGTAAGTCCCCTATCTGTAATAAAAGAAGTTTTTTCCTCATCTGAAGGATCCATTTTTATCTGATTATATCCTGAATAAGCATCTAAAAAACTCAACAATTCGTGCCCTGCAGTTACATCAATTAGTTGATCTATGTGTGGTAAAGGAAAAGAATTTTTGGGACAAACTTTATTTAAGTCAGTATATTCTACACAAACTCACCATTTACCATTCTTTTTGGGTACCACTATAGTATTAGCTAGCCAATTAGGATATTTTACCTCATGGATAGATCCGATTTTTAAAAGCTTTTGTACCTAATACTGAATTACCTGGTTTTTGAAGGATCATTGTTTCCTTTTCTTTTGTTTGATAGGTGGATATATTGGATCTTCATTTAGCTTATAGGTCATCGCCTCCGGTGGTATACCTGTCATATCTGAATGCGACAAAGCAAAGCAATCTGCGTTAGCTTTTAAAAATTCAATTAACTTACTTTTCATCTCTGGGCTCAGGTTGGTTCCGATTAAACTTTTCTGTCTAGCCAATGTATAAACAACACCACCGCTTCAGGTTCCTCAGTTGTTGTTTTGATGTTTTCGTTCTCTTCTGGCTCTTGAATAGTATCAGGTCTTGAGTCTACATCGGTTTGTCCATCTTCGGTTGAAGTTTGAGTTGTTAAACCCTCAAAAGAATTTTGTAATTGTTATTTCACATCTGCAACGTCATTTTGTATGCTTGAATTCACCACTGAATTGATACTTCTAGAAGCCTACTGATCACCACGGATTTGCCTAATTCCCATTGTGAAGGGAACTTAATAACCTGATGTAAAGTAGATGGAACATCATCCATCTTGTGAATCCAAGGTCTGCCAAGGATAATATTGTACGCCATATCCGTATCTATTACTTGAAATTTTGTATCTTTAAGAACTCCTTCTACGAATGTGGTGAGTATTATCTCCTCTTTTGTGACAATGCTTAAATTGTCAAATCAGATAAGGTATGTGCATTGGGTACCAATTTGTCATCAGCTTGCATCTCGTTTACCCCTCTTAAAAGAATGATATTTACAGAGCTACCCGGATCAATCAAAACTTATTTCACATTAGTATAATGTACAAGTAAAGATATTACCAGTGCATCATTGTGTGGAATCAACAAGCCATCTGCGTCTACATCATCAAATATTATATTGTCTTCTTCAAAAACTTGGCGAACTCGCTTCCCGTGGGTGATTGTGATTTTTGACACCTTCTTTGCAGCCGTATATGTCACGCCATTGACCTTCTCCCCTCCGCTTATGACATTAACTGTTCTCTTTGGTGACGGAGATTTTGGTGGCTCTTGTCTATTCTTTATATATGCTTGCTTACCCTTCTCACTAAACAAATTGGTTAAGTAGTCTTGTTTTAATAAGTGCTCTACTTCACATGTAGCAATTTGTAATCTGCTGTTTTATAGCCGTGATCATTGTGAAACTCGTACCAGAAATTAGGGTTTCTTATATTTGGTTCAGTCTCATTTTCTTTGTCCACCGCACCTTATCTTCCATGCTTCTTAAAACAGATACCAACTCAAATGTGCTAACATTGAAACTGTAACCACCAATCTTCGCTTTTGAACTTCTGTTGTTGTCCTGCGTATCTCGCGTGTCTCGCTCCTTTACAAACTTGGACGACGAACCTGAATCTCTATCCTTTGATCTGGAATCATACCTCGAGTTCTTTTGTTTTGAACGTGAATCCCTTCCTACTGATCCTATGTAAGGTTCGTACCTGTTCTTACCAAACCTTTTTTTAGTTTCTGGTCGCCTTGAACATACTCTTTCATCTCCCCAGGACTGAGTGATAGTATCTTCTTCTATCCGCAGCTTCGTGTTATACCTGTTGTAAACATCATTCCAAGTTGTTGCAGGGAATTATCATAAGCTTTCTTTGAGTCTCCTCATGGCTTCTGAGTTTTTTCATTTAGATTACTTGCAAATACCATAGCGCCCAATTGTCAGGTACATGTGGTAACATCATTCTTTCACGTTGGAATCTATCTATGAATTCCCTGAGTAGCTCCGTATCTCCTTATTTTATTTTGAAGATGTCTTCCATCCTCTTTTAAAATTTTTGAGCTCCAGAGTATGCTTTTATAAATGAATCTGCAAGCTCATCAAAAGAATCAATGAAATTTTCAGGTAAAAGAGAATACCATGTTAGTGCTCCCTTTGTGAGTGTTTCACCAAATTTTTTGACCAGCACTGATTCAATCTCTTGCTTAGTTAAGTAGTTGCCCTTCGCGCCAGTTGTAAATGCAGTTACATGATCTCGTGGATCGGTTGCCCCATTATACTTCGGGATATCGAGCATCTTAAACTTTTTTGTAATAGGCAAATGAACGGCACTTGGCTTCCAGGGTTGTTGAGAATATTTATCCATATCCACTCTTTTGATTATAGATGGAACACCAGATATCAGCTCTATGCGATTGTTCTGCTCCTTGAGTTATTTCTCAGAAGTTAGTAAAAAACTTTGTAAATCAGAACTAATTGGGATACCTGACCCTCCATCGCGAGATTCGCTGGGAGTTCCTCCACTGCCTGAATTAGTGAGTCCTGAGCGTGGATTCTCTATGGTTGCGGTATTATTTGGAGGCGGAGTTGGTGGTACAGGTGGTATTCCGCTAACGAAAGCTTGAAGAGCATTGTTCACGTGTTCTGCAATTAGTTGCTTCAATGCATCATCAACATTTTGATTGTCTCCTTGTTGAGTATTCACATGTGATGTTGATCTGTCAGGTGAATTGTTTCGGGAGTGTCGAGGAGAATTTTGAGGTGAAGGGATTAGGGTGGCATTCTCTTGATGATTCTGTTGGTTCAACTGGTCTTGCTGGTTTTGTTAATTGTTGTCGTTAGTGGTCGACATGATTTTTTAACAGAAAAATAAAATTGAAAAGTGAAAAGATTATCAGATTCCCGGTAACGGAACCAATTTGTTTAACCAAAAAATAGAAATTTCGGTCAAAGCCTATTTTTAGAAGTACTCGGGTTACTGATAATCAAGAAAATCAATATTCTCGCAATAAGAAAGGAAATAAGAATATGAAATAGCAAATTAATCAATAAATAGCAAAAGAAAATAATTGTATTCCAATAATAATCAGAATGTGTCTGTACAAATGATATCTCTTTCCTTTTTATAGGAATCTATGAGTATAACGTCTTTCCCCTTTTATGACCGAATCATTATGAGCATTAATGACATTAATGAGATGTTATAATTGGTAATCGTAACTGTTCATGAAGATTCTGTAATGTTTGAGATCATTCACGCTCATTAATTGGTGATTCACGAATTTTTCCTTTTTTCTGTCTCGATTCATTCCGTCGGTAGCTCTTCATGTAACTGTTTAAACTTGAACGACCATATCTTCTCCTCTCGTGGATGATTTGCTTGTATCTATTACGACTCGTGCCTCTTTTAATGCATTTCTCCAACTATAGTTTTCTTAATGATCCACGTGTCTTGTCTTATCAGCCATTCACATAAATTCACGTGTAATATTTATATTTACCAATACACATTATGTGTACTTTTTTCCAACACGATAATACATTTTACTTATACGTTTTAACTTTTCGCCGTCCAAAGTTAAGGTACCACTTATTTGCCACAGTGCCATACATACTTGGAAAATTGACTCCTACAATTCTTTAGTATCGTGTGGAAACTTCCTTTCATTTGAGGCTTTCCATAAGTCACCACTTGGAATTTTTCGCACAATATTAAAGTATTATTATAACGTATTGAAAACGTACCAAACAGTAAACATGACGTTTATTGTTTCGTCACAGCCGTTGACGTTAGGGCACTACACCACTTTCATTCACCTCTCTCCTACAACCAATTATATATTCACCACTTCCCTCTCCATTTCACTTCCCTTTCTCTCCCTCCCCCCACCCCCNCCACTGTGCCATACATTCTAGGGAAAAAACGTTCTTTAATATCGAGTGGAAACTTCCTTTCAATTTTCCACGACTAATGTGGAAGCAAACTAAGAGGCCACCAATTCACCACTTGGAATTTTAGTACAATAAATTAAATATTATTATAACGTATTGAAAACGTACCAAACAGTAAACATGACGTTTATTGTTTCGTCATAGCCGTTGACGTTAGGGCACTACACCACTTTCATTTTGTCACTTCTCCTACAACGAATTATATATACACCACTTCCCTCTCTATTTCACTTCCCTTTCTCCCCCTATCCCCCACAACCCACCATGCAACGATCTATACCATATAGAAATTGGCTGCCGTCCACCACCACCACCACTACAGGCGGAAGCTCCTCCACCACCTCTAGTGGTGGTTCCACCTTATTTGAGTCATATTCAGGTGAACATAGAGACAAATTCAGAATTTAAATTTAGTTAGTTCAATTTTAGATTCTTATCACTGAATTTATTTGCACGTACGAATTTATTGACTTACTATATTATTTTTTAAATTTTTTAATGATTTTCACATGTATTTCTACATTGCGCCTCTGCAGGTGAGAGCAACGAAACCTACTCTAATAGCAAGAGAAATCAAGATAAAAACTCAGGCATCAGTACGGGCGTGGCAAAATTAGTATCAGAGAATGCAATAATTGTCATAGCGACACGTGGATGCTGCATGTGCTATGTCATCAAGAATTTGCTACTAGGGTTAGGTGTTAACCCTACGATTTTTGAAGTGAACAAGGAAGATGAAGAAGATGTGATGAAGGAGTTGTCGAGAATTGTGGGTGGCGATGAACAAAACGGCGGCGGAATACGGCAGTTTCCGGTGGTTTTTGTAGGCGGAAAGTTGTTCGGAGGACTAGAAAGAGTGATGTCTACACATATTTCTGGTGAATTAATTCCAATACTTAAAGAAGCTGGAGCTTTATGGCTTTGACTTAAGTCAATTATTTATTCTCTTGTCTGTCTTTCGTATATCTTAGGTAATTAATCATTGACAGAAAAATCAGGAATTTTCTTACATCCCACTTTTACTCCATCTTGCTTAGATTTTTCAGTGGAACTCGAATTCTACTTTTTTTAATCTTTTTTTTCAAAGGTAAGATAGGATCTTTTAAATGGAAAAAAGTTGAATAAAAGATTATGATGGCAAGATTCTTTGTATATGATGAGAATAAGATTATTGCTAAAATAATGTATTATTAATCTTCGAGAGGGAAGGTACAACACTAGGAGTATCCATTATTGTCCAAGTTAGGCACTTGGATTAATCATTAATATCATTCGAAGACCTCCATTTACCATTTGTTGACTTTGACTTTTTGGCATTTTGCATATTATTATAGTCAATAAAGAGACAATGACTTATAATCTTGATCATGACATGCTAATTTCGCTTTTTTCTTCTTCCTCTGTCAAGTAATTTATTATAACGTATCCCGTATTCACACGTGGTTTAGAGAAGAGCTGCATTCCAAAGATGTGATGTAGACAGTTTTCCTAATACAAGTATTGTTGACTTTTTCCATGATTGTTTTACTGATTGCATCCTAATCATGCGGTGATAATTTTATTATTGCTCCAAAACTTCCCGGATCACCGGTAATAAATTACAATACAATTCTTGCAGTATAGTTTGTGTTTAAAATCTGATCAGTGGGGAAGAATAGGCAAATTAAAATGCTCTTATCACCAAAAAGGAAAAGAAGCTCCATTAACTGCTAAGGTTTAAAAAACTTGCTCTTCTTTCTTGTAAAATACATTACTTTCAATTTTATTTTTTAATACTATTTTTCACTTTAATTTATAATTACCACTTTTGGAAATTTACTAATTTCATCAAATACATTACTTACCATAAAATTAAAATTCTAATGGTGTTTCATCAATTCTATCGAACATATCATGAAACATGGAAGTTGATCACGCCCAACTCTAGTCCTAAAAAGGACAAGCAGTCGCTGCAAATATAATCTGGTCTAAAAGTCCGAAGTTGAATCCCACGGAGAACTAAGGCTTAGCTATAGCTGTTTAATATCACTAAGAAAACAAGTTTGAACAATTTTCTAAATTATAAAGATTGAGATTTATATTTCTAACTAATTAACTAGCAAATACTAAAAAGCGATAAAATTATCAACTAACGAGACAAAGGGTTAGAGACTAAATTAAGGAGGTCTAGAGTTATGATTTTTTCAATTATCGGAATCCTTCCAACTATGTTCCCCTACAATTTCGCCTAAGTATTCTTTACTGATCGTGAGCACTTTTGGCGCCGTAATTCTCTCTCGAGTAACTACAACAAATTGCTAGACATATTTTCTCGAGCTACTCTAGTTGACTTCATTTAACCGCTCGCTATGACCACGTCAAGGCTTTGTTATTTCTAAACCTACCTGTAAACCCACTGTATTGATTTATCACATACGTTAGGAGTGACGTTGTTCAACAACCACCTAAATATGTATCCTTTCTCAAGCAACACATAATAAATAGGCACAGTCCATCGATGGACATTCAGTCAACTGAAATAAGCACGCAGTTGAACAAGTAGATAAATCCAAAGGTTAAATTATATTAAAACATAACAAGAATTCATCCTCCAAGAGGTTCCATCAAAACTCTAGATAATAAATTAGCTATTCATAATAGTATGCAAAAATACAATACTAGAATTCATAACCAATAATAGAAATAGGAAGAAAGAAGTGAGAAACTTGTAGAAGAATTCTCCGCTTGCTCCTAGTATGTTCTTGCCTCCTTCGGTCGAATCCCCGGTCTCCTTAGCCTGCTTAAGTCTAAATTATGTCCAAAGTATGTCAAACGTGCTCAAAATACCATTTTTCCATGTATATATACCAAGTAGGGTCGGGCCCAAACAATTATACCTTCTCATACGCGAAAAAGGACACTTTTCCAGGTCAGGACGTTCGTGGCCGCGGATTTTTCACCATGTTCTGTTTGGAATTTGGAAAAATGTAAAATATGAAAGTTGTATCCCTTTGAATTAAATTTCCAACCATATATTGTGGAGTTCAAATGGAGTTCTGAGCAAAAAGGTATATGTATTTTACTAGACAGTGCGCAATATGCCTACTCGATTCTTCGTTCATTCTTAACTATCATCCGTTGATCCCCGAACACGATCTCGGCTTAATTCCTTAAGATTATACTCAGACTTCAAAGCTCCAAATCACTTGAATTCATTCCATAACATCTACATAGCTCGAAATCACTCCTACAAGGCATAAAACACACAATTAGTGAAAAACACTAGCGATTAAAGCTCAAACTCAATTAAAGTGCAGTAAATTAGAGTGTAATAAGCAACTAAAATACGTAATTATAGCCTATTATCAGAAGTCAAATTCTAATGGTAATAAATTCATTATTCAATCCTCTTTTGTGCATACACTACTAAGGCTGGTAGGAAAGCAAAAAAAAATTATCAATTTTCGACCGACTTTAATCCGTCGATATAAGGCTGGTCGGTAATAAATGGCGACCGAAGTAGGTCGTAATTTTTGACCGGTTTTGATCGGTCAATTAAATATCATAAACGACCAAAAAAGAAAAAATATACTGAAAAACGCGGCCTAAGTCAGTTGGTATTTTCCGACCGAAGTCAGTCGGTATTCTTAATTAGGTAAGTAGAAAATGCACCATCTGAGAATTGAACCGGGTCTATACCGTGGCAGGATACTATTCTACTACTAGACCATTGGTACATTTTGGTTCAAGGCTTCTGTTATTTTAGTTGTACTCTTTAATTGCATTTTCGTGCGAAAATAACCGATCGATTTCGGTTAGTTTTATTAAATAAAATAAAATTACCAGTCGAAATTAGTTGGTTTTTAAAAATGACCGACCGAAATAACTTACTGATCTCGTTCAATTTTTTGAATATTAATTTTAATTTATTTTAGATGAAAACCCGACCAAAGTTTGTGGGTTTCTTAAAAAATAAATTTGGCGGACACAAAAATAGTTTTCCGCATTTTGCGCCAAAAAAACGATCGAAGTTAGTTGGTTTTGCACTAAAAAATTGTAAAAAGGTATATTTTGAAAAACCGACCTTCTTGACCGATTGAAGTCGGTCGGTCAGCCGCGGTCGATTTTGGCCGAATTTCTAGTAGTGATATACCACAATTCCTACTATCTGATGTTAGAATAATAATAACAAACCTAGTGTGATCTCACAAATAGGGTTTTAGGGAGGATACTGTATACGGAGACCTTACCGGTATCTTGTGAAGGTAGAGTGACTATTTTTGATTGACTTTCCACTCAAGGAATGACGAAAAAAGCAGTAGTAACAAGCAGTAAAAACAACAAGATAATAAGATAATTAGAAAATACAAGAATTATACTAATACTACCACTACTAGAAATTCGGCAAAAACCGACCATGGTCGACCAAAGTTGGTCAACTTTCAAAATATTTTATTTTATAATTTTTTTTACGAAACCGACCAACTTTGGTTGGTTTTCTTTGGCGCAAAAATACGGAACCAATTTTGGTCGGTTTTTCATTTAAAATAAATAAAAATTAATATTAAAAAAATCGACCGAAATCAATCGGATAATTCGGCCGGTCATTTTAAAAAATAGACCAACTTTGGTTGGTAATTTTATTTTTAATAAAACAGACCAACTTTGGTCGGTTATTTTCGTGCAAAAATACAATTAAAGAGTATAAATGAAATAAAAGACAGTTTTAAAATAAAATACACCAATGATCTAGTGGTAGAATAATATCCTGTCACAGTACAGACCCCGGTTCGATTCTCAGATGGTGCATTTTTTAATTATATATTACAATACCGACCAACTTTGATCGGTTTTTTCGGCAATTTTTTTGAATCTAATTGACCGACCAAAGTTGGTCGGTAATTTCCGACCAACTTTGGTCGGTCAATTAGATTCAAAAAAATTGCCGAAAAAACCGATCAAAGTTGGTCGGTAATTTCCGACCAACTTTGGTCGGTATGCCTTTCCGACCTTCAAAATACCGTCCACACGTAAATGGTCATGTTTTGGACAGTTATTGGCCATTACTGACCAACTTTGGTTGTTTTTTTTAGACGGTTTTGCCCGAATTTCTAGTAGTGTACTGATATGAAAAAGAAATATACTCGACTACCCCTACTAATCATCTATCCTAATTCTCGACTCTCATACTCTTCTATCAAGGTCATGTCCTTGATTAATTGAAGTTGTGTCATGTTCTGCCTAATTACACTCCCTTTATCTGATGTGAGACAAGTTAATTGAAAATTACCGAGGATATAATTAAGTGTAGGTTTTGCTTTTCTCCCTTTTCTTGTTTTTTCGGATGTGTTAGCATAACGATGGGTCTATTATATTAGAATGGAGAAATACATAAAGCACCCCTTTAAGTTGTCCTCAACGATCAATTGAACACCTCAACTGAGGCCATTTCTAGCTAGACACTTTATTTATTCACAAAAGTTGATCAACTAAACACCCGGCCATGTTAGCCTCTATCGCGTGAAATACACTATCCAGGACGCGAGTTGCCTATCTAAAATTAGGTTTTTCTTTTTTTTTTCTAAAATAATATGGACCCTACCTAGTTTTCACACCTTTCTCCTCCAATTTTCACACTTCCTCCTCTCAATATCAGTTTTTTGCCAAGAGAACCAAATCACACAGTAGCAAAACAGACACACAGTAGCAAATCATTTTTCTTTTGAGAAGCATTTGTGACAACAAAAATTTCACATTTGGTTTTGAAAAGAAACACCAGAATCTGTAAAAACATGGCCAGAAGAAGAAGAGGAAGAAAAAAATGGCAAAAAGAAGAAGAAATTGAAAATATCGCTGGTAGTACTAGTTTGATGGAGTCCATTTTACGAGCTATAATCTTGGTGTTCCTATGAATCATTGTGTAGATAAAGGCGATGGAAGTTGGGGTCGATTGCGTGAGATTGAAAGGGGTTGATTTGGATTGAAAGGAAGAAGATGAATAGGGTGGGGTTGCGCAGGTTTTGGTTTGGAAGAAGAAGATGAAGTTGGAGGGGGGGGGGAACCAAATTCTTGTTGGCGATTATTTATGATCAAAAAAATGAAATTCTGAAAACTCCTTTGTCTTATTTATACTCTTCTTCAAAATCTACATACTATG